CGGGGTCTCCGGTCAATTCTGCCTCCCAGCAACCCCGCATGGGCACAGCTTGGCTTCCTGGGGGTTTCAACAGCTGACCTCTCAGCAGAGATTGCCGGGCTTTTTCCTGGTGACCAGACAAGTCTGGGTGGACTCCTCCCTCCAACCTGTAGATTTGCAGCCGGGCATATTGACCGTCTGCACAGCCAGGGATGCTTGAGATGGAAGGGAGAGCCTGACCCAGGGGTCCTCAAACTTTTTAAACGGGGCCAGTTCACTGTCCCTCAGACCGTTGGAGGGCCAGACTATAGTTTTAAAAAAAAACTATGAGCAAATTCCTATGCACACTGCACATATCTTATTTTGAAGTAAAAAGGCAAAAAGGGGAAAAACACCCGGTGGGCCGGATAAACGTCCTCAGTGGGCCTCATGTGGCCCTCGTGCTGTAGTTTGAGGACCCCTGGCCTGGCCACACTAAAGGGTCACTGGGGGTCAGAATTGACTCAGGTAGTGGTGGGTGGTGCTGGTTCCGTAGACAGACCCTTATGGCCAAGAGTAGGGAGAGGTACACTTCTTCTCGCTCCCACCCTCACCGCTGTTTATTGAGCACCTACTCTACCCAGCCATTCCCACCCTCCTGTCCTTCAGTCCCCACCGAAGGAAGGGAGCTCTGCTCAGGCCAGTCTTTAAAGAGGAGGAACTGGGCTCAGGGGTGAGGTGACCAGCCTCAGCCAGGATGAGGGAACCCCCAAGAAATGGACAGATATCTCCTAGGCTTGGACAAGGGCTGTCCATATCCTCGACCACATGTTGGGCCGTCAAGGGCTTTTATGCTGTACCTGGTATGCAGTCTGAGGTCCACAGAAAACCCCCAAACCAAGCTCACTGCCATCGAGTTGACCCTGACTCACGGAGACCCTATGGGACAGGGTAGAACGGCTCCTGTGCGTTTCTAAGACTGTCATTCTTTATGGGAGAAGAAAGCGCCACCTTTCTTCCTCGGAGCTGGCCAGTGGTTTTGAACCGATGACCTCGAGATTCGCAGACCAACGTGTAACCACGAATCTACCAGGGCTCCACAGAGTATGACTTCCAATTCAAGTCCAGTAGCTCACCCTCATTCAAGAGACTTTAATCTGCTCCTTGGTGGTGCAGTGGGTTATGTGTGGGGCTGCCAACCACAAGGCCAGCAGTTCAAATCCACCAGTTGCTCTGCCACAGAAAGATGAGGCTGCTTCTGGAAAATGTACAGCCTCAGAAATCCTCTGCCCTATAGGGTTGCCACAGTCGGATCAACTAGTTGGCAAAAGGTTTGGCTTTTTTATTTTAAAGTTCACAAAAGACGTGTGTATCTTGTAGAAAGAAAATGTTTTGAAAATGATGATGGAAACGTATGTACAAATGTGCTTGACACAATGGATTCACGTATGGATTGTGATAAAAGATGTAAGAGCCCCCAATAAAATGTTTTTTTTTTAAAAAAAACAGCACATCCAAAAATAAATAAAAACGAAACTGGTTATTTGGGGGCAATCTGTATGTAAAATGTATTGATATAGAGTATAATTTATGATCCCTCGGGGGGAAAAAAGCTGTCAGATCTCTTAGGAGAAGCCTGGTGGTGCTGTGGTTTAGACATCGGACCACTAAGCACAAGGTCTGCTGTTCAAATCCACCAGCTGTCAGTTCCAGGAGCGCTTAGATCTTGGAAACCCTATACAGAGTCACTGAGCAAAATGGACTCAACATCTATGGGAGTTGGATGATTTTATGTCCATGAGACACTCCTGGAGATGGGTGGAATCAGACCTGTCAATCAAGCGGTAACTGGATGACACCCCCTTGGGGGTGGTGCCTTTTGTAAGAGAATGAGAGATTCGGAGAACTGCTTCTCTTGGCTACTCCGCCTTTCTCCTCCCTGGGACTTCACTGGGACTCTGTGTCTGCCTCCAAGGGTGGCCTCCTGTGGCCGCCCAACCCTGAGAGCTGTCAGCGCCCTGCAAAGCTTCCACGGACCTTGGGCCCACGTGACCCTACACCCACTGGCTTGCGATCTCCCTGCTTCCTGCTTCATCCCTGCTTCTGGCATGATCGGCTTGGGGCTCCTGTGTCCGCCGAAGAGCACCCGGCTAGAATCCGATCTGCGGACTTGAGTTGAACTCGGCCGGGTTAAAGTTGCTTTCTTTTGAATATAAAGTTCTTCCTTGTACATAGATATGAGTGTCACTGGCTTCTTTCTGTAGACAGCCCGGCCCAACACAATGGCAGCGGGGTCTTATTCTGTACTGATCTTTATAGGGTTGCTAGGGGGTATAAAGGAGCCCTGGTGATGCAGCAGGTTAAGCAATAGCAAGGTCAGCAGTTCGAATTCACCAGCTGCTCTATCAAAGAAAGACGAGGCTGCCTAGGTCCTGTAAAGCACTCCAGTCTCTGAAACCCTGTGGGTTGGTTCTACATTGTCCTATAGTGTTGCAATGAGTCAGAACCAACTTGATGGAGTGAGTGTGGATTATAAAGAGCCCTCGAGACTCGCTGGGTTATACATTGGGCAGCTAACCACAAGGTCAGCAGTTCGAACCCACCAGCTGCCCTTGAGGAGAAAGATACGGCTTCCTAGTTCCTTAAAGGTTTTGTTTCAGAAACCCACAAGGACAGTTCTTCAGCCAGACAGGGTCACCAGATAGGTCACCAGACAGGGTCACCTGAGAAAAGGCTGAAATTGTCAAGGATTGCATCTTGCTTGGATCCACAATCAATGCTCATGGAATCAGCAGTCAAGAGATCAAAGGACGCATTGCGGTAGGTACCTCCGCTGCACAAGGCCTCTCTAAAGTGTTCAAAAGCAAGGGTGTCACTTTGAGG